TGGAATATACTCTTAGGCCTGTGAGCAGCTAGGGAACTTCTGTTCTGTACTATCACATTTACTGCTGCGTGTATGATGCTCACCTTTTAGATCTCAGCTACATGATTTTCTTTATTAAAAGAGCAATATTATGTATGATCAACTGACATCTATTAAAACTGGATTCATTGGAGTAAATGAAAATTTACATGATGTTTAATTTTATTTACTTTAATGTTTTAATTGAGTTATATTATAGAGCGTTTCAAAGGTTGAGAGAAACTAAAGTTTATAAGATTTTTAAGTTGACTTTGAGAAAGTAGATATATGAAATTAAATATATAATTGAATAAAAATTTATCTGAATTTAATAATATTAAACTTACAACTTTAAATTCATTTATTATAATAATATATTTTATTATCTTTTATTTGATTATTATATAGTTAAATAAAAATTTTCTTTATTGATATAATTGATTTTTAATCTCATATTTTATATTATTTTTTTTACTATATAGTTTAAAGATATAAAGCAACTCATATCTAGTTACTATAATAGATAAAAAGTGAAAATATATATAAATATAGTATTATAATTTAAATGAAATTTAATAAATTGAGTTACAATATATTTATTATATTTATTAATAATCAATAGACTATATAGTTATAGTTATTATATAAGTTTGAATATTTCTATTAAATATCTCTTATAGTCATATTAAATTAAATTCATTTTAGATTAACTTCTTTTACTAATTTCCGCTGTTTAATCTACTGATAATTAACTCATGTTATGAATTTTATATCTTTTACACTTTAATATAATTATAAAAAATAAAGTTTATATGACATTAAATGTTATAATCACAGTTTTTTAATTTTTATTTTTTAACTATATAAAAGCTGCTATTTTTCTTTTTCAACTTTAGTAACTATTCACACTATTAAAATAGCTTTTCTTATAAAGTCAATCTTATTAAGTTATATGTATTTTTGATATATTTTTAGACCTTTTTATAAAATTATTTATTAATTTAAATTATTTATATAAAAACTTTAAATTTTCATATTAAACTTATTGATAGTTATATTTTTATAAAATTTTAATCTTTGCTTTAAGATATTAATTAGTAAATTTATTGATTTAATTAATTTTTATAATACTAGAAGCATTAAATTCATATTTTGTAAATAGTAAATTAACATTTTCTTATACAAGAATAATTTGAAAAGACTATTCTTTTTTATCTTTGAATATTATTCATTAAATTAAAAATTCTTCTTTTGTAAAAGTCAACCTTAATATTTTATTTGAGCATTCACATGTCAGATTCAATCTTAAAATCTATAAATTAAACATCTCAGTAGTAGCTTATATGTTTGAAATTTGATCAATTTTATAGACTTCAATAGCTGAAAGAAGTCTTTCTTCTTGATTAGAACCATATTTACTTAGAGTGATGAACATATTAAATAATATACTAAATGAAAAAAATTGAAATGAGAGAATAGTTCACTCAGTGATGAATTATATTAACTCATTTAACAAACTAATGAGATAGTTAACTAACATAATTCATCACTGAGTGAATTTAAAAAAAAAAAAAAAACCCCAGTATTAAAACGCGTAAGCATACCCTGCGTTAGAAAAGAAGACATAGAATGACCATCGCAGACAGTTGATGTCACTAACTTTGATGACAAGTTGAATTGCCAACTTCGATGGTTATGCTTAAATTCAATCATGATTCATCACAACTCTTGATTGTTGCACCTGGACAGATCAGCAATTCGGTCAGACTTCAAGTTAATCTCTGTTTCTTTGTGTCTTTGGACGTTTATTTTTCCCACCCTTTTCCTTTCTTTTCCTGGATCTGGACTTTAGATGTATCCATTTAACTCCGCATGAAGGAGTTGGAACCCGCTTGCGGGATTCTGAATAGACCACATGATATAGTCAGATAGACGGTGAGACGGTGAGACGGTGAGACGGTGAGATGTACATCCCCATCCTCGTTCAAAAACCATAAACTTTCCCGACAACTCTATTCCTCATCGTGCATAGTCCCAACCCCGCTCCTGGCAATGGCCATATTTAGGGCTCAAAATCGTGTCAGCAACTCCACGGAAACCATGAATACTAAAATGATTGTTCGAAAGAAAAAAAAAAAAAAAAAAGACTAACGTACGAAGTAATCAACGAACAAAGCTTAAACTCGTCGGAGCTTTCCGCATCAAATTCTCACTCTTCGAGACTGGAACTAGTTACCCCAGATCCGTGCAGTTGGGCTCGAAGAAAAAGAAAAGAGGAAAAAAAGAACCCCGCCTGTAACCAACGATCCTTTTTTTTTTTTTTTTTTCATTATTTTATTATTTTCCTGGCCTGACGCGCGCACTCTTATGTCAAAGTCACCTAAAAAGCACTGAATATCAGATCAGATAAAAGCGGTGTCGAGCTGAATCTGGCCCACGCAAGGATCTGCTTCAAAGCCTAGTATTGCCTTGCGCACATCTACTCCGTATAACCACTTGAAGAGCAATGAAGCGGTCACCAATAATTAGACAGGATCGAATCGTTCGGCCAACGGTCTAGGCAAGCCTGTCAAGATCTCGATTCTCGACAAACGGGAAAGTTAAAAGGAATAATATTGTTTTGATAGTTAACGACTAAATCAGTCTTCCCACCAAAATCTGACTAGATAGCGATGGCAGGTCTCCTTTGACCTCAGTTTTTCCTTCAAATCGTCATCCAGCCCATTCTCAACAGGATCTGGCCACGGTCCGTGGGGTGCTATATACCTGTCAAGAACGGAACCTAAATCAGTCAGCCTCCTTTTTAGATGCATAGTCCGCATGCCGATGTGCTTAGCCTTTCCGATACGTAACTACACCGGTGTTGCTCTCCGGCTGAACATCCCACCCACAGCCAGCGCAGTATAGATGTTTATGGACTAAATATCACGAAACCCCCGGTTCCATCCCCTGATCCTTCATGGTTCCACATACACCCTCTGGATTACATTTATCTCGGATTCGGATACGGACTCGATCTCTAATATCTACCTTAGTTGGCACTGGCCACCACTAACAAACTCCATCGCTACGTCGCACTGTTACGCGGTATAGCGTGTAGACTTCGCTGTGGCAAAAAGATTTTTCCCTGTCATAATGAATTAACTCTATGTTGTTTCCACACTAGGAAACTCTTGAACAGAAATCAAAACCTATTGTCAGTAAAATTATCAAATCAAGGGCTGCTCACGGGCCTATTGATGAAGCACGTTCAACCAATAACCAACCTTGAATGAAACTAGGGGATAAACTATACAATCTCCCACAACCAACAAGAACAAATGGACAAAGAAGGACTGCAAAACTCTCAAGTATTACCAAAATATCGCACCATTAGTTTGTTGCATCCTGCGGGGAATTAATATGAGGGATGCGCATTTTACAAGGACCCCCAAATTTCTAGAACTTTCGCACAAACCCATGGATTGGTCTGGTGGAGAATCGGGCTCTTGACAGGGTTGTGGAAGGGTGTTTGAGATGCCAGAACCCATTTGCGATCGTGATGATCGCCTGTGCATCAAATCCTGCAAGTCGACGCTTGGGACTCGGGACCCGTCCGAAAATCATATAACGGGGGGTCGAAATGAATGGAACGAATAAGACTGGGTCGCTTGTATCGACGAAAGTGTGGTTTTATCGTGTTAATCGTCCGCAATACAACCTCAAATCTTCCATCCTGCGTTATGTATACATGCTGTTCGTACTGAGCCTGCCCTCTGGAGACTGAATGGATCTTATCTGGTTATGACAAGGAGTAGTATGTAGGTACGGTAGAGAGCGGGTTACGTGTGTAAAGTTCGACGAGATTTGTTGTAGCTAGCAACAGACAGCCTACATTGAACATTTAGCTGGTTGCCTGAAGCCTAACTAACTACTGTACCTAGCCCAACATTAACTAACAGTATTGTAGCCATGTTTTGTTGCCTTGCTTTTATTTGCTTGTCCCCACAAACCTTTTGGGCTGGAGTAGTTCACTCTGTACGAGGAAAGATGATGAGCAATCACGAATTTTCTCTCACTTCAAAACTTGGCACAATGATGCGCTTAGTGTCTACAATACGTAGCATCCCTAAGGTCAACTAGCTGCACTGCCTGTGGACCGAACTGAAAGCTATTTCCACCTTCTCGCAGCGATCACGTTGTCCGCCTTACTGCCGATTAGGTGGTGTTGCGCCCTCTCAACAAACACGAGAATCCCTCTGAAATAGTGAAACTATTTTGACCGGTCCAAGTTAGATGTGTGTGTGGAGAGCGTCTCATCCACCGGCTGAGCAACTTCTTCCCCACTGATCCACCCCAAGAAGGGTAGGTCCTTTCAAATATTAAATCTCACCAATCTTTTCATTTAACTGGATCATGGATGGAACGATTCATCAACTGTGGAGATGAAAACGCCCCGAAACCTTGCCTATGAAGTGGATCCGTGGAACATTTTCGTAGAAAGCCCAGAACAATTTTAGAGAGTTTCTGTGCATGGTGCTAATGAGACAGTGGGGGTGATGAATTTGCGGTGTACTTCTAGGCTCTTTATCCGAGATTTGAGCTGCCGTGATATGACAGGGGAGTTAGGAGTGGTTAATAGAAAATATTCCGGAGAGTTGAGAAACAACATCACCTTGAGAACGCGTATCACTAAGTCAACTTGGCGCATATAAAAGCCGGAAATATTACCGCTTCTGGATCTCCAGAAGCCACCATGAAATTTCTTAGTCAGGAAATTATCCATAGTTAGTCAAAGGAAAAGCGTATACCAGCTCGGACAAATTTTGCCATGGACCCTCGATCGACAGAGGTGGCGAGACACAATTGTCTCACGTTGGGCATATAGTTATTCAATAAATGTTGTACTTGAGGGGAGATCTGTATCATTATTAAACATGTCTAGATATGCCAGCCACAACCTGATCGACACTTTCATAAGCATTGATCCAGATAGCCTTCAGTCACGCCACACACTTGGAACTGCCCGAAGGCACTTCACGCTCATGATATGCCTTTAGCGTGTTGACAACAGGTGGTGCTATTTGCTAGCTCTCAGTCAGCTCTCAGTCGGCGCTTTTAGGCCTCATATAGACTGCTCACCACTGCGTAACCTGTTCAAACTCCAATAGCAACACTTGGAAGACCACGCCGTTGTCGTTGCGACGCAGCTCCGGACGAAAACTACATCTTGTGGACGCAGGCTGTTGGATTTCATATTCCATGCGCGAAGGACTGAGACATTGCTTTCTCGATGCCAACATGGGTACTCTGCTGCTTTCTTGCGAAACGGTCATAGTTATTCAAGTCAAGCACCGGTAATTAGTTGCCAATACCTCTAGGCGGTTATACCAGTCCAGTCTTGTCGTAAATAGCTGCTGATTTCCGCATTTGTAGTCTACCTCCATTGGCCTTTCGTTGACCCTGGACAATAAAATCAAAGGCTAGAGGTCAAATTTATAGATTGCTGTTTCCATTCAATGGGATTACGAACACATTGTCAGCGGGGTTTTCAGCGGGTTTTAGAGAAAGAACAAGGTTTGGGGCTTGTGCAGGGACTAGAACCTCAAACCTGGGACGTTGGAATGTTGCGATAAAGATGCTATTATCTCGGTATGATGAACCTATAAAGTTCTAATCTAAAATATTCACGCTCTATTGCTTAAAATTCCTTGAATATCCATCGACCATGCGTATCGAAGACGGGAGACAAGCGACCCTTTCGCAATCCCCCTCATCTTGTTCGGAAATCATATTTGATCTGCAACAAATGTTCGTTGACACTGGTCGTCAGGAGTACCAAAACCCCATTGAACGGAAATAAAGACATCAGGAAATGTCAAAGGAATATCGTAGTCCAGGTTTTTTAAAGTCAAGCGGCGCCTAGAAGTAACCGGCGATTCTTCCGGGGTTTATATTTGGGTCTTACGATCAAGGGGATTGAACAGGCCCCAATCGTAACTTGAAAAGTTTACGAAACATCGCACTCAAGGTTCTTGAGAACATCCTGTAATCTGTGAGGATTTGCGTGCGCCAAAAGTGCTGTTTCAACAGTAGTGCGCAAAAATATCCACATTGTGTGTAACATTCCTACTACGACAGCAACTTGTGGTCTGAAAATGCCGATATATGATTTCATGACCTTCTCTTGCAAATATCCTGCGGTAAAACGAAGACGGGGGATCGCAACGTCATGAAGTCCGGTCGGGTGGGACGGACGTACATGCTTCACGCAAATTATGCCGGACACACTCTCATCCTGCAAGGAATGACTGCCAGGCAAAGAAACTACCGATTAAAACAAGACCAATAGTAGCAAGAAGGCCATTACCTTCCCATGTGAGAGTTAGGTAAGCTGCTACACCCACAGCGATCTCCTTTCGCCTGGCAGCGGCCCTTTTTCTTTTCCAGTTTGCGTCAATCTCAAAAGGAGACAAGAATACGGCAGGGGGCGAAGCGGGCTTCAGCGGCACTGAAACGGAAAGTGCAACAGCTCTGTGGTCAGACGTTTGAAACAGCGGTAGAGCATCGTATCCATAAACCTCAATGTTGTTTTCTCCAGTCGAGGAAGAAGAAGGGAAATCACTATAGAGGATTCGGTCGCACCAACTTGGCCACCGCTGCTTCGCCCAGCTCCATTTTCCAGTTGGACCTTCGGGGAAAACCTGATCTGTTTGAAGAGTGAATTTATACGTGGGTAAGAATTTGATAGGTGCTTCGGAGAAATTTTGTAGAGTCTTCTGCTCCTCGAGTTCGCGAGTCAATTGATCCTTCTCAAGCAGATGAGAATAGTGATAGGGACTGTTCAGGTCTTCTGTAGGTTGAGGAAACTTTTTGTAGTCTTTCGGCCCTGGACGAGTTAATGATGTTCGGTAATTCAAGTCTCCAGCAACAAAGATATACGATCTAGGTGAATATAGACCGTTGTCCCTTTTTACGTCGCGAGATTCGGCTCGAAGAAGAGGGGCGTCTTCTTCCGTTTCCCCATCACGAATTCGAGTGTTTTCACCACTGTTATTCGTCCCCGAAAAGACAAGCCTTTCACTGATGCTCTTCCAGTCTTCGTTTCTGCTTTCTACTGCCCATTCATCTGGGGCAAGATGGGCCGCAACAAAGGTCAGGTCGACAGTATCTTCGTTGATATAATAGCCAATCCGTGCCCCAGCAGCTCCTTTATTCCCAGCCTCTTGCACCCCCACTCCAACATCCGCAGTTTCAATCCAGGCAATTTTTCCGGCGACGTCTTGACGCACAAAGACCATTATTGCTACCATTCCGGCATTCTTAGTTACAATATTCGCGTAACCCTCTTCACCGGCTGCAATGTTCACGGCACGGCGAAAAGCATCAAAATATGGGTTCAGGAATGAGCCTCCAAGGAATGCATAGGCGATAGGGGCAACTTCCTGGAGCGACAAGACAAGTATTTCGGGTAGGTCCGTTGATCGACACCTTGAATCAGGAAGAACATCGAAGAGATGAGAGGCAAACGAGTAAGGCTGGATCACATTCCGAGCGCAGTTGAAACTAAGTACATATATGCCTAGAGATTCCATGCTAATCGTTACTGCATGGACCGTTGTCCAGCTCAGGTTGATCTGACTTCATCAGTCTTGAAGTGTTTGTTGACAACTGGAGAGTTTGAGAAAGTTAAGAACCTTTTTGGAAGGTTTCTGAGCCTGAAGCTGGAATATTTGCTTAAGTTGGTCACGTGGTCCAGGAACGATCGAAATCGAACAGAAAGTTTTTTGAGGTTTCGAATCTGATGCCAGTCTCGATGGATATCGAATATCTCCACCAATTGAGATAGAATGGTTGTTTTGCTAAAGTGTATTTCATCTTGCTCTTAAGGTCCATTGAGATTTACATTCCTCCCTAGAACCTGCTCACAAACCCACATTGCAGTGAGGGTGTGCAGGCTTACACTGTCTTCCTCGATCTGCTTACTGAGCTTTTTCTCTCTTACCTCTTCGTCCAGTCGTCCCAAGGCTTCGAAAACTACGACCTGGTCTCTCATGAATGTGTCCAAACAGCCATTTGTACCCTTTCTTGAATTCTCCTTTGGGTTCACATGAAACTCTCTTATTAAACTTGCAACGCACTCGTCAGTCATCGGCCGCAGGAAGGCGATCATTCCTTTCTCGGGATTGGCAGTGTGATGTCTTTTGTTCTTTTCCCCCGACTTATATTCGGAATACAACATCCCCCGGCCGAGGCGAAAGCCGGTTGATGTGTGGGCAACAAGAAGTATGTAGATATGCGAAACATCATGCGTTGGTTCTGTGGTATGTATTTTCACAAGCGGTATTTCCGGAATCGATGTTTGGCCCCTCGTTCTGGGTTTAGGTGATAGTGATTTGAGTGCTCTGGTTACCGATTTTGCTGCTGCACACCCGAGGAATTGACGGATCGTCGGTTGAAAACTAGAATCTTGGCCAAAGTCTTCGTTTGGAGGAACCGTGGGTTCTAAGAATCTGGATTCTTCCACCCCCAATGCTGTTTTGGGTAATGCAGGCTCTGCAGTATGATGTTTTCGGAAGTGTTTCCCGCTTTCTCGTCTTTGATTTTGATTTTTGCCTCGCTGGTGGCCACCTCTAGAATGGTTGGACTCTACGGCCTGTTGAAGAGTTGTGTCCGGCGCTAAAATTGTGATATCGACTTCCGTTATGAACCCAGGGTCCAAATTTTCTAAATCTATACGGGGAAACCTGGGATGCACAGCCGGGGGGATTTCACTTTGGGCTTTTGTCCGGGACCCGGAGTCCTCAACAACCTGTCCCTGACTGCGACAACTCGATCTGCGTAGTTCAACTTCTTTCGAACTTGGGGCTGCAAGGGGTTCGATTTCAAAGGACACTGAGCCTATCTGGACCGCGCCAGAACTCCACCCACGCCTGTTCAACTTAACGGAGAGTAGCGGTAGACCTAGTTTCACAAAATTGGGGATGAGCACTTGAGATACGTAGTCGTATGACGGGGCTGAGGATACGTTCGTGCCGCCGGTAATGTTCAACTTGATAACTTTGCGAGACAAAGGTTCGCTCACACGCCCGTCCTTACAATGTAAGCTTGCTCCAGCATACAAAAGGTATGGATATAGGGCTTGAAAAATGAGGAAGATAGAACCAGGAGTTGTAAGTTGAATGTTGTATTCTGATTGGATGCCCGATGTCGCAGGAAGGGGTTGCAATCGCAACTTCTGCTGTGGAGAGGGGAACGTATCTTCCCCCTTCCCATCCTCAACGGATCGGGGATAGAATGTAATCTCTGACGATCCTACCTGAGCACCAACAATGCACCCGCCACATACTTCGGCGAGGGATTGTATAGCGGCAGTATGCGACCTCCTTAAACCCCTCGGGCCGTGCCTTTTCCCTCGTACGTTGTTAATCGTGACAGGCAATCCCGTCATCGCGGAGAGTGCAAGCGCATTTCGGACAAGCTGGCCACCTCCCTCCAGTGTGCTCCCATCCAAACGTAGCATTTTTCTGCCTGTCTTATATTCTGCCCGAATTCGACTAACCTTGGTCCAAAGCAACAAGAGAATGTGTTGGATGAGAGACGCTTGGAGAAAACACAGAAATCAGGCTGACTGCTTTTTTAGTTGCCCAACAATCCACACCCCAACCAATGGGTGTGGTAACTACTTACTGGCAAATTTTGAACTGAACTCTAATGAAGATATTGCACAGATATAACTCTGTATATGCAACATATCTATCTCATGAATATCAAGCAGCGCAGGGTCATCAAGACCAAGATATATCCTAAATATGAAACCGGAGAAATACAAACCACTTTATTCCATGAGAAGGTGACTGGGTTGCGTGTTAGTCACGTCTGGTTAAACAAGTAACTATAAAAAGGGTGGTGTTGGGGGGGCGCCTTTTGCCCCCATAACTAACGAGTAATCAATTTTCTTGTGCTGATACGAAGCGACAACTGGTGCTAAGTCTAATACAGCTTTAAAACTTAATTACATTCTCACTCGTCATGCAGGTGATTTTCTAATAATTAAAGAAACTTTTTGAAATAGCATACAAGTTATGAAATGAAAAAATGACTAAAACTTAATGAGAGACCATGAGTTTTAGGTGCTGAGATTTGAGAATTTGCGAGAAAGATAATAAAAGCAACTATCAAGCATATTATTTACACAGGGTTTGCAAGTCCGATTTAAAATTAAATGTTTAACACTTTGTCCTGCATTATATCAAAATAATGAGGAGATTTTCTACTAATGTGAGAAATATAACTTGATCAAACTTCATGAAATAGAAGGACCTAATCTTCCAATTCAAAGTAATTTATATGCTATATAATATCTAGGTAAAGGTTGGGATATAGATTGCGATGGAGAGGCTTCACAGCTGAGGTCAAACCATTACCTGGCATGAAGCCTCCTAGCCACCCTGGTTGCGATGCCCATGAACGTCACAGATTTCAATAAACGAGCCATCATCCGACGCAACCACAGTGGCTAGTGATAAGCCTATGCAGCAATAGCGCCGAGAGACGAAGTGTGACAGAGGAATAGGGTGCTAGAAATTGTGAAGTCAATACCTGACACAATTGAACAGAAGTGGACGGATATTGGCTGGCCTGGACTCATCCACAGCCCCAAACCTAACTCCATATATAGTTCCATCAGTGACTGGCCAAAGATCATCAAGAAGCGTTGCTCACCAATTAAGAACTTTCAAGCTCAAATTATGAAGTGGACACTAGGCCGTTCGAGTTGAAGGGCCGCGGGAGAGCAGTGCGCAGTGATCACAATATGTCAGTGATGATAACCACCCATGAAGTGAGAAAACACAGCCACGCATCATATTCCACAACAGGACGCGCTTCTTCTTGAACCTTCTGCTCCCCATTAATGGCCATTAGTTGAAATCTCTGCATTCAAGGGGAACACTTCACAACTAAAATAGTTGGAGAAACAGAAAACCCTAAGTTCCAGGAAATGTGAAGTGATTCAAGAAGCATGAGTATATAAATAAAATCATTGAGCTTTTTTTTTTTTTTTTTTTTTTTTTTTTTGGCGGCGTCTTAAGGTGAGCGGTGGGTAGTATGTACATGTGCCTCATATCATATGCAAGATGTCTCGAACAAGTTCTTTATATTTTAGCATAGATATAAGGGTAGGAAATGAAATAGTCGGTACAAGAAGCTAAGTCAAAGAGAGGCCAAGTTATACACACAGCACTGGCGAGGTGATGTAAGCGGATTTGGTTGGGGGAACGATGCTGTATTTTATAGAGCACCCAGCTCTTTCAGTTTCGAGATCATCCCGTCGACGTCTTCTACCTTTCCTCCCCCTTGACGGGCGGGAGGTTCTGTTGAAGATTCATTTAGTTTAGTCCACGAGGGAAATCAAGGCACAAGAAACCGCTTAGGAGAGAAATAGGGAACGTACCTGTGACTTTCAAAGTCTTCAACCTCTTCTCATCTACAATTTCAAAGTCCGCCAAAGTTCTCTTCTCCAACGGCTTCTTCTTTGCCTTCATGATGTTTGGCAAGCTTGCATATCTCGGAGTATTCAGTCGTAGATCCGTAGTGATGACCATGGGCAACTTGGCCTTGAGCGTCTCCACACCGCCATCCACTTCCCTCGTAACCTCAATTGTACCCTTGTCATCCTTCACAACAAGCTTGCTCGCCTGTGTCGCCTGCGGCCAGCCCAGAAGACCCGCCAGCATCTGTCCCGTCTGACCTTGATCACCATCAATAGCCTGCTTGCCCAACAACACCATGTTGATATTTTCCTTGTGGACCACGTTCTTCAGCAACTTGGCTACGGTGAGTGGCTCCAGGCCCGACTGGTCTGGTTTCTCGGGTACATCAACAAGGATGGATCGGTCGGCTCCCATGGCCATGGCGGTACGGAGGGTATCGACACATTTGGGCCCGCCGGCGGAGATAGCTAGGATCTCGGACACGGACATGGGTCCCTTGCTTTCGCGCAGGCGGACAGCTTCTTCTATGGAGAGTTCATCGAAGGGGTTGAGGGAATGCTTGACGCCGGCGGTTTCGACGCCAGTTTGGGTCTTGTTGATGCGGGGTTTTATCTGGAAAGATTGAAGTAGAACGAGTTAGTGGTATAACTAAGAGTCAGTGAATAGCTTGAACATCCACATATGTGCCCGAGCTGGTACATCGATTGGGATAGAACAGCAGAAGTAATTCAAGCTAGAGACTCCACATAGCTGTAGCATTGCGCAAGACACCAATAGGTTGAAAGGAGGTGAAATCCACATACAGCGAAGTCAATAACCCTCTTTACGGGCACAAGTATTCGGAGCGCATTTGCAGCCATTGTGGAAAATAGAGAATGCACAGAGACAGCTGAGCGGATGCAAACTTGTCCTTGCCAATCTTGAGCCTGATGACGCAATTGCTGAAGCTCTGTGGCGGCTGTGAGTCGGGGCAGTGGTTTTGATGTGTCGCGGCTTGTGAGTTGATGTCGATGCTCAAGCCTCCAAACCTACCTCAGCCATAGAAGAATAGCCGCGTTCGGAAAACATCTCGGCTGCTGAGGCTTCCCGATTGGCGGACCTTGATCTGAATCACGTGGTTCCCAATTTCCGCCGCGTCGCATTTTCAACCGCCAGAGTATACAAAAATGCATTTCAAGGGCTTTTAGCAAAATCCTAAGGATTTTTTCTTTTATGATACATACCCGGCATTAATGGGTGGTCAATGGATTTAATGTCAGCTGACACCTAAGGTCTTTTTGCACCTGTGATCCAATATTCTCAGAAGAATGAAAAGGAGATTTTGGATAAATTTGTTTTGCAGCAATGGAACCAATGTCGCATCTCCACTGATTGGTGTCTGAGGTGTTTACTCATTCTGTTCCTCGTCTACAAGGGAGCCGAATAGAGACACACAAAGATGAAATTTGGATGTTAACATACGGTTTAGTCATGCCACCCAGACTAAGTCCATCAGATTTGGCGTTATGTATATCCGGGTGAAATTATTCAGGCCTCTTGAACTGTAAAAGTTCAACTACTGTTATTTATACATTTTGGGGGAGATGGCGTTGGCCCACTGCGGACTTGGAGAGAGGCTGCTCGCGCCTTGGGGCTTGGACTGATATTCCATAGTCGGAGTAATAAGATGAAACGCTTGGATTTGAGCGTTCGTGTCTTTTATAATCTCATATTTCACCATGGACCTCTGTCGAATTCCTCTTCCAATTCTTTCCTGTGATGTTACATACGGCCAATATTATGCTCTGATTCCCACGGTCCTTCATAACTCTTCGATGTCAATTTGCGAGGTCCTCCCACACTCGAGTTGTTTCTAGCCGCTGCTAGAGACACACCGGTGCTCTAAGATATTAAGGATAGCCGTGTGGACGTTTGCTGTGAATCCGATAGCAATCGGAGATCTTCGCAGTTATTACTGCTCTCTATAATCAGCTTCTTTTCAAATCTGAAGTCTATTATTGTACAACTGGCCCTTGGACGGATTGTTCCAATCCACTCTGCTCTTTAAAGCTCCGTAAACGGGGCAATTGGGTTCAGATATCCGTCTAAAAGAGCCCATTAATAAAACATACATGTATATACATGGCCAGCCGTAAGTTTTCTCCATTTCACCGGCACACGTAACGCTTCACCATGTCTCCTGCTTATACTTTCTTACCTTCTCCATATTCATCAGATACTTCTCTGCCATTTCTCGACTATACGGCGCCTCCTCAGATTCACTCCTCCCAAACATTTGAAAAACTTCAATAAGTGCCTCTCTAACTGCTTGTGGCATCTTTCCCGATGATCCACAAATATATACCGTGCCACCCAAATCATGTAATATGCTAAAGAACAACTTAGCATGCTCCCTAACGCGGTCTTGCACGTATATCTTCTCCCCCTGGTCTCTCGAAAACGCCGTGATTACCGTAAGGTCAAGAACCTTCTTCAACTCCTCCCATTCATCCTCAAAGAAGAAATCTGCTTTCCGATTTCGCCCACCAAATAGTAAGATAATGGGGCCTAAAGGCACGGGAACGTCTGCACCATGCCTCTGCCGAAACGCAGTTGCCATGGCGGCTTTTTCCCAGAGCATTGAACGCAATGGTGCCACCCCTGTGCCCGGACCGATTAATACAGTCGGTTCTAGAAGTTGTCTCATCGAAGAGTTGAGTCCGCCCTCTTGTACGTGGACTTTTAGGGAGCTCCCTGGCTGGAGTGCTGCGAGATAGCGTGTACATACCCCCTCACGCGTCTTTTTGATAACAGTTTGGTATTTGACGACAGCGACAAGGATGTCAAAACGCGTACTCACAGTTGTGCTGTTGCTGCCGGGTAAAACTTCGACTTTTTTCAACTTGCCACCGCTCGCCAGGCTGAATTGTCGGCCACGAAGGACGGGGAATACGGCACAAACTTGTTGCCAAGGGATTTTCACGGAGTTAAACTCGTGGAGTACTTCAAGGATTGAGCGGCGGGGCCGCGAGGTATAGTCGTAAAATTCATCTATGTATTTTGGGTTTGTAAATTCCTGCAGTCGCTCTCTATGGGTAATGTCGCTTGTAAAATGGGATATGTTGGAGAAAAAGGAGCGTCGTGGTATCGCCATGATGTCTAGGTAATCGGTCAGTAATGTTCGGAGGGTAAATCCAGGTGATCTCAGCAGGAACGGGATTTCGGGGGTGGACATGTTGGTGTGCCAAACGTATTCAGCATTTGGGACGAAGCATAGAGGTGTGTCGGCTTGCTTCTGCCAACCCATGATAGATATCAGCGAATCTACGTCAGAAACGAAATTCCTCGGCGTTATTTGTAAAATATCTCCCGGCACATATGGAATAGACCCCGGAGTTGTTAAAATTAAATGACGAACATCTTGCCAGTGGGTTTCTGGTGTGACTCGATTGTTTACTGTAAGTGTGGCAGATACAGTATTCGGAATGGGCCGCAAGTCGTGAGTGAAGTAGGGAGGGACGCTGGCGTCTCTCAACTGCCTTCCAGATTGCAAATCTGATATCGCCATATCAGGATATGAAGTGGTGACTTCCGGTTTACTTGAGTCTCGGTGTGCAAGCACCCATTTTGGTGGTAAACGGACACCATCCGGAATGGGATGTTGACCAGGAGCAAGGGGGTATTTATCCAACAGATGCTTCCGCAAGTCCAATGACCACGGAATAAATGTTCCGTCGAAGCTAGAATCATTCATCAGAAGGAGGAAATGGAAGTTTGTAGAACTGATATAATGCATACCCCTCTGGGTGCTGCTCATCCGCTTCGCCGCAAGGGTACAATTCGTTTGCGCCAAGCTGTAGCAATCTCTTGTAGAGCTTTCGCGAAGCCCAGTTGAACCTAGAACACCACACCACAATGGTTAGTAATGAGCTATGATACGTTTAGCATTAAGGCCTACTTTGGGTACGAGCTATCTCCCAATCCAAATAGAGCAAAATTTACGCCATGAAGGAATGTTGGCGGAAGCCGCTTCAACAGCAACGACTTCCAGAAAACTTGAGCGTTGGCTGGGAAATCGCCCTGTCCCGTAGTCGAGACAACGAATATCGCTATATCGTAGTCATGAAGAGACTCCTGGAATCGACATGAGTTAAATGTTTTTGCATTTTGGCACAGGGCCGAAGTCGCACCGCTTTAATGGCATTGAGTTCGCAGACACGCGCTGTGAAGCGCAGCCTTTCTGCAAGGCGCCCAAGTTCATCCGCAACATCCCGGGAATTTCCAGTCTCCGAACCGTAGAGAATTATTGCCGTTCTAGCAGAGGTTTTACCCAAGCTGCTGGAGTTGGTGGTAGCCATTTATGCTGGATCATGGGGCTCAGATGACGATGGATTTGGCATAATGTTGAAGATTAGTTAAATAACCAGTTAAATATTAATTACCAGAAATTATTCCAATATATCTATATTGCGCCGCAAGCCCACGTATGTATAGTTATACACGTTCAATTGAGCACCTAAAACCGATGATCCAAATCAACAGAATATTACATGTAATGTCTACGTATAATGCTATTACGCACAATTGTAGGAACTGTAAAATAATCCGTAAAGCAGAGAACTAATAATGACAAATTCAAGTTCAGCTCATCGCTTGTATCGTACATATTCATCCAATCTAATTCAAAAATGAATCAACACTATATGGGTATCTGAAAGGCAAAACATAGAAAGGAAGATATGAAATGCAGAAGGGCATGCATAGTGAAAAGAAAGGCAAAGAAAAATTATCCTCATCAATACGTATCATTATCCCCCTCTCCTCCACCTGTATCAAACACATCCCCATCATCATCCCCGCCATCAAAATACTTCTCTGCATTATAATCCCCCACCATATCTTCCTCATCATCCTCAAAGTCATCGTCAACAATTTCCTCCTCACCCTCATCCTCTTCCTCATCCAATAGATCTTCATCAACCCCTCCAGCCCTCTTTTTACGTTTCCTGCCAGCCTCCGACCCTTCCTCATCGTCCTCACGAGCTTCTTTTTTCTTCCGATGGGTACCGGTTTCTTCTTCTTCCTCCTCCTCCCCCTCCTCCTCATCATCATCATCTTCTTCCTCGAATCCACGCTTCTGTCCGCCTCGTAACGGCGAACCAAACCAGTTAGCGCCGTCAGTTTGCAAACCGACATATTTGGGGTCAAGTGTCGACCACAGTTCTTTTGGGAAGAAGTTCATAGCTGTGAAAATAGCAGAAACGAAGAACTGGCGTTAGCCTGGAAGATGACCAGTGTAAAGAGATATAAAAATTATAAAAATAATATATTGTCCATACCAAACGGCCTCTCCCTGAGTTTCGGTAACGTTCGAGTCTTTTTCAAATACCTCTGCCCATATGTCGCCGTGCCTTGAAAAGGATCAAACTGCGCTTTCCGAGCCGCTGCTTCCCCTCCTTTCTGAAATGAAGGTGGTGTGCTCATAACCGTATAATAGGGTCCATCATGTATCATTTCTCGTAATCGTCTATAATAGTCGACTTGGCTTCGCTCTTCTTCTGTAAGCGGTTGGGCAACTGGTAGTGAATATTTCTATGTGCAATGTTAGCAACGAAACTTTTTACTTTATTTATTCTGGCCAGCGAGTTGAATTGAAAATAAAAGCATATTGAATGGAAATAACAACAGAAGGGTATTATAACTGACAGGAAACAACGGGGTGGGAGCAGTGTCAGATTCTCCTCCACCTTCTGAATCCCACCAGAACTCAGCACTAGGCAACTTTTTTCCTCGTTTCGACATGAAGCGTGACATATTTTCTCCTAGGCTTTTTTTTTTTTTTTTTTTTTTTTTTGTTGGCCTTCGTATGCTCACTCAAGCTTCAAAACAAATGTATTGGAAGCACCGGTTGCGGATTTGAGGATTTTGAGGATCGCAAGGCAGGATGAAATGGGTTTTTTGAGACAATAATCTTGGAATATTAATTAAAGAGTTAGTTACAAGATGGCAAGGAATAATCTCACTGGTCTCTCTGAGACGCAGTCCTTGGATAAATTATAATGCTTTTAGAGCAGTTGGATTGGTTTAACTTCGTATTGGAGTGTTATGGTGTGTTCTCGCAGAAAAATAAATATGTCAACTAGTTATATTGCCGTATCTGGCCGCCTTCAGCAGGGGCCCCGCCACTTAACCGAAGGTACTTTTGCATTCCACTACAGTTTATTATTTGTCTTTCGAATGTTGAGACATATTTGATCAACACTAAGATTTTGGCGTCTTATCTAATAACAGTGCGTGTTTGTGTATGTGATGGAGCAATGCTCAGTTTGATAGCCATATCGTTGTTGGTCTTAACGAGAGAAAAATATTTTGCGCAGACCATAGTTAGATGTCTACTTGGTGATAGTCTGTCGTCAAGTTTACAGTATGGGGTGGTCTTATTACATTACTTAATAAACCCGGGTTCCTGTTCATTGGGAAGTCAATCTATGAGGTGTTTATCGTAGCGAAACATCTCGAGAGCTTGAACGGTATTTAAGAGCTCAGTCAACCCAATTGCAATAGTAACCTCGTTTGTTTCTAAATGGTTGGATTTTCTGAAGAGCTCATAATGGTAACCGAAAATTCATAAATGCATGTTTCAACATCATAGTTCTAGAGCATCCACTCGGCTTCCAACCTGGCTCTGCGGACCCCATGGACCATCGGCAACGCGCCTATTAAGCGTTCGTATAATGTCGCCAAACTCCTCCAAACCCCCGCCGGCTTTCTTAACTTCATTCTGCAAGGTAACGAGAGCATCAAACTTGGCCGTTGCAATTTTCCAAACAGCACTTTCCGTGTCTCCAGCCCCACCCGCAACGAAATTGGCATATGTCTGTGGGGCCTTGAAAAGGTAAGGCAGGACTTCCGTTAAGGCTGGTGGTACGAGAAGTGCCCACAAGCCAGAAGGGGGGAGTTTTCCTTGAGCTGATGAGCCAAAACGGGAAAGCTGGTCTTCTGTGGGAAGGGCAAATCGACGGTTGGTTAGAGTGACGGAGTTCCCATTACTTGATGGAACGACAACCCAGTTTGCTGTTAGCACAGATTTTATAAATCCAATGGCAGCAAGCGCAGTGTCTTGCATGGCAACTATATCAGCAGCCGCAACAATGTTGCTCCAGAGATCTGGGTGATCATTGAAATACCGAAGAAATAGGACACGAGAAGCTGCAGCTTCTACTCGGGGACTGGTTGGGTTTTGGTCAAGTGAAGTTGAGACTCCGTAAGATGGCTCTTCGACGGTTGGCGGCCCTTTGAATATTCTGCCCAGAGTATCCATTACATGGCTGTTTACAGGTTTAGAAGGGAGGGAATTCAAGGGATTGATCCATCTGTTGCCTGCCTCCACTAGCATAACTCGGGGTAACGACGCAAGTATGTCAAGGTCCCCAGTTGGAATTGGGCCATGCGCCCATTTAACAGATTCAATATCAAACGCCTCTGATATCCGAGAAAGTATCTTATCTAGGAAGGGCTGAGGTTGCCCAAGAAGATGATTTGGGTATAAAATCGCATACTGAGAAATATATCCCATAGCCGGCCCGGAAAGGAACGGGGCAGACATGGAGTCAAGGGTCGAGGGGTCCAAATAATAATTCATTATCTTGGTGTGCAGACCTGACGATATGAGGTATTCGAGAGAGGGTGAGGAGAATAGGGGATATGAATGAGTCTTGACTCCAGCACGCTGGCAGAGGCCTGGAGCACTAATCCGAAGTAAGTCGCGGAGAAACTGAATATATGTCATGTGCAACAGAATATCGTCTGGATCAATCATTTGCGACGCGGTAAAACTCAACAGACTGGAACATTGGAATATGGATTCGATATCGGGGAAATGCGATGTCGTAATTGCACTCCAGTCTAGAGACCCTGCTTTTATAACTAGATCCATTAATCTGCCTTGAGCTACTGACTTGTCTCGCCTGCTCAACCCGGCTTCTGTAGTGTCAAAGCTGCAAATAGAAAACAGGCGCCCATAGACATGTCTGTCGTTAAACACTCTCCTCCACATCAGCCCCTGGCCTCCTATCTTGGCTTTATTTTCACCATCCACCAAGACATCGCTATCAAAATTGTCGACATGGTCGATTTCTAGCAGAGACCAGAGAACGTTGAACGCTGCTTGGGCGACGGCTGTTTCAGGTGTGGTGAGCCAAAGTTCTGCTAGAGCAACCACAAGGGCCGGGTTTGCAGAAACAACCGCTGCATTAGCAGGCGAATTACTAGCTTTTGCTAGGAGAGATAGCGTAAGAAGATTGACTGGAGGAGATGGGGCCTTGATGCCAGCCGAAAGATTTAAAGGCGGGTCAATTGATTGAATTTGGTCAAAGGAAAGGTATGACGCAGCTTTGGTGGCTAAGCTTGTTAAAGGAGACGGGTCTTCTTGCAATACAGAGAGAACCTGAGAAACCCGGGTGAGAAGAGCAGAGGAAACGCTCTCACTGGTACTAACGATCAATTCTGCCATGAGTTTATCCAGGATGGGAACATCTAGAGGAGTGGAAGGTTCCTGGATGATCCGGTCGAGATGGTCCCTCACAGCATCGAAAGAGGGGGGAGTTTCCATGGCTTCCCCTGACCCTCGTAAGAACGATAAAAAGGCATTCAAGATCCTCGCAAGAGATGAGGTTGATGGATGTGGTCCTTGATGTCGTTCTGGATGGTTGTTCTCGATATTACTATTCTTGGAGGACTCAGTCACGCAAATAGATTAAGTAACTACCTAAGTTAAATAACCAGGGCAAACAAAGCAAACACAGTTGACTCCGGGTTGCCTTGTGGAGCTTCCGCCCCTACAAAGTCGGAGTATGGATGTCGGATCTACAGACAACAAATTACAATCAAGACAGAATCTGTGATTATACTTTAGCAGTTCAGTATAACATTCATTTGGTTTGGTCAGAGAAACACTTTGCGAGGGCGCCTGGACTATGGCGGCATCTAATCCCCTGATCTCCCTTAAATCGTCCGATTCGGGCTTTCAAGTCCTCCTCCATCCACTCGTGCTCCTCAATATCTCCGATCATATCACCCGGCATATTGCAAGACATCAAGAAGGACCAATTGTAGGAGCGCTTATGGGCCAGCTAAAGGGCCGAACCATTAGTCTCGAACATGTTTTTGAGTGCAACGTGGTAACTTCCGCAAATGGAGATATTACGCTACATGAGGCCTGGTTTGAAGAGAGACTACAACAATGTCTGGCCGTACTCTGCACCCAAATGTATTCTCGATAAAGATTACTAACTGCTATGCCTCTGCCTTACAGTCAGAGGTGTGCATAAGGATCCTCCATTGGACCTTGTTGGATGGTTCACCTTAACCCATCCCACCGGTCCAAGCTCAGCACTACTACCTGTTCATCAGCATATCCTCGAGAAATATAACGAAACAGCAGTTCTACTTGCATTTGATGCTTTAGGACTTGAAAACAGCGCCTCTCGAACTACAGGTAAACTTCCACTTGCAATCTACGAGTCGACATATGAAGAAGAAAATGTTGGTGATGGCGATAAGATGATGCAGGTGGACGGACAGCAACCTAGCTTGACACTGAAATTCCGCGAGCTTCCGTATTCAATAGAAACAGGGGAGGCGGAAATGATCAGCGTGGACTTTGTTGCAAGAGGAGGAGGCAATGCTACTGCTATCGAGGCCAAAGATGCAAGTTCGACTCTAACGGACAAGGAGAAGCAGAAACTCCCAGCTGGTGAGGGTGGGAAAGATGGGAAAACTATAAAGCCGGCCGCAGGAAATAAGCCTGACACGGATGAAGTTTCCACGCTCTCCAAGGAAGATGAAGATAGTGAGTAAACAAGATCAGGAAATATTGAAGCTGGCGCATCAATCCCATTTAACCATTACTTAGTAATTGCCAATCTCAACACCCGCCTCACCGCCATCAAAACCCTTGAATCACGCCTCCGCCTCATAGAAGCATATCTTTCCCGTATACCTTCTGAAAATGATGGCAATAAAACAGAGTTTATCTCTAACTCTTCCCTCCGGGTCCATCACCCCCTCCTGCGGACGATCCACTCCTTGATCTCCCACCTATCACTCCTAACTCCGCAGGAATCAGACAAATTCTCCATTGAATCTCTTGCGCAAGCTAATGACGTTGCATTGGTCGCATTGCTCGGGCAGCTCGGACAGAGCGTGCAAGGGATGCGTGAGCTAGGCAAGAAATTTGCAGTTGTTGATACAGCGCGACAATATTCTGAGGCAAAGAGGCCAGTCACTGGCGTACAAAGAATTGATGAGGAGTTGTTCCTTCGTCAGTCGACCGGTGGAGGAGGGATTGGTGGAGGTTCAACATGGGATTGACGGGTGAGAATGGTTTGATTTCTTTCTGTTCTTTGAAAGAGGAAAACATTATCCCAGGTGATTCTCTGCTGTAGAAAAAGCATGTCACGTACTTTACGTAGGTTACTTTTGTGACTTTAAGATGACCCCTTCTCTCTTGCTGTGTTTTATCAAACCTTGCAGCAAGTTTTGTTTCGAATTCAGTGCTCTTGAACAAATAGAGATACCTTACGAAAATATCAAACGTTTGACGGCACGCTCAGTTCGCCATAATCTTAGTGTTCTCCAAGAACTGTAAATCCTCAAGGTCTCGCTGTGGGTGAGCTTGGTTCTTTGTTGCATTACAAAGAAGGTAAGATATAATGAGTCCCCCCACCCAACAAACAAACAGATATATAACTAAAAAATAATAAATAAATAAATAAAAATAATCACTTCATAGTACTGCATAGACTGATATACAG